GCCTGACCACTCCTCATTTTTAGACCAACACACCCAGAGAGGCGCAAGTTCATTTGCTAGTTAGGCGACGAGGGCGCAGGGCGTGAAAATGACAACTGCGCCTGCATCTAAATAGCAATGACACTTGAGACATGGATTATGCGCCCTCCGCCGTCAGCTTTAGACCATCTAAATAGGGCCCAAAGGCTTCAGAAAACATACAAGACACATACAAAGTCATAGGAAGAGAAGCATGTAGGTTTTATCTCAGAGTTATTTGCATTATAAAAACCGTTGTGGCGGCTCTAGGACAAGTGCACTTACATTGAACACTTCCATAAAATAAAACGAGAAATTGGAGAAGATTGAAAATATTAAAATTATAGGGAACTGATCACAGATGCATTGTGTCTGTGTGTTTTTACATCTATTGTTGCTTTTAATTTGCAGCTATACGTTTAATAAAGCTGACATGTCATGACAGTCAAGAACCCCCCGGGATTCCGGGGTTACGGCAGCCAATCAGCGTTGAGCTGCAAGCGACAGGACCCAGCGAAATACAGCTCCAGATGAGATTTCTCATCTCAAGCGACGAGCAAAAAATCGCTCTGTCGCTGTCGCTCGGAGCCCAAGCGATTTTTCTCCTGGGCGAATATACGCTCAATCGCCCCTTTGCATTGACTTTGTATGTAAACTCGTCGCTAGCGAAAAAAAAAATAGGTCCGGTGTGAACACACCTTCAGAAAAGGCAGTTAATGTTGATGACCGACTAGTAACTTACTTAACAAACTAGCGAATGTACTTAATATCCGAGTGCATCATCAACAACTTCATGTGAGGTGAATGTATGTCTAACAGTCGTACATGTTATCATCTTAGCTTCGTGCAACAATGGTATATTAATGTTTTAATCATACATACGAGCAGTAAAGATGTAAAATGGTACTTACACTTGAATGCGCTGTCGTCCGTCATAACGTTGCTCATTTTTTTCTTTCTCTGTGTCGTGTTGTCTGTGTTGTGTTTTGTTGTGTTGTCTGTGTCATGTTGTCTTCCGTGTTATATGTGGGCGTTGGTTGTACACGCAGCTCAGTCAGTGCGACACAACCTCCGCTGCGCAAAGGATTGTGGGTCAGAATGGCCAAAGAAGCATGCTGACACGCATACTGCGAAATATGACCGGATGTAGTAGAACATCCTGGTACTTTTGGCATACTGCATCTGACATACTATGTATTGGAACACACTAATTCTTTTTCTGGCATACTAAATAGTATGGTAGTATGGGTATTGGAACGCAGGGCTGAACTAATAAGATGCCTTGATTAGCTCACCTGGTAGTCTGGGTGACACTTGTACAAAGGCTCCAACCCGCGGCCCTTATGCTTAAAGCTGTTCTATCGAACAAAGTGATAAAGCAAAAAAAAGAAAAATACCCGAATCAGGCCTGCTCAATCTCCTTTTATTTGCTGCGGCATCTTCTCCAGTTGACTGTGCACCTGATGCATTGTTTGAGAAAGTTATGGCTAGTTGTTATAGTCACTGGTGTATCATTGATTGTAAATGGGTGCTTTGGTCTGATTAAGATTTATCAGAGTACCTTTGTTTACTGATTATTATTTTCATTTGCCTTTTAGCCATTAAATCATGTGTGTACTTCAACTATTTGCAGAAATTCTCTGAAAGGTCAATAAACTGTTGAACGGCTCTCTTCTCTGGTCATCATGCTTTAACTGGTGTGCTAATAATTATGGCAATAATAATAATTTGGCTTTTACAAAGTTTCTACAGCAGGAAACACAACATGTGTGGACTCTTTGTTGTGGTAGGTGCCAGTCATTGGTTGACATTAGCAGACTCCATTATTTAACTAACGTTAGCTAGTGTTGCACCCTGTTAGCAGTGTGGGAGACTGGGGTAAGTTGAGCATAGGGGCAAGTTGAGCTGCCCCTTGTTGCTAGGAAACCGTAAATAAAATTGAGCATGTGACCAAATATTTAGGAGGAAGGCATCATTTTTCATTTTTTTCACTCATGATAGTGAATTTAGTCTATTATAAGTTTCATGGGGATTGTGTTTAGACCAAAATAGATCATTTTTAATTTGTTTTATACACCAATTGTGGTATCTATTGGCTACAAAATGAGGTAGTGCAGCTAGCATGAAAGTGCACCATTTTAGCTGTGGGGGCTAATAAAGTCAATATGTTATGGGGTAAGTTGAGCAATTTGAACAGGGGTGTGGCTGAACTTACCCCATACACTTAATGGGTGTATTTTCACAAAGAAAAGGAAAAGAAGAAGGCTAGAGAACTTCTCAAGAAACAGGTTGGAAAAAAACAAAAGAAACAGCAACCCATCGTGGAAAGCAGCTCAGAGAGTGACACCATGATTCCACTTGACACAGACCACAAGAGTTCGGAAACAAGTGATTAAGAAAATGAAAATACTGAGATGGCAGTGGGGGACTTTGTAGTTGTAAACTTTAAGGGTAAATCAAGAAATTACTGCTATATTGGCTTGCTGGAGAAGGTCGCAGGTGATGACTTGTGAGTGTAAGTTTCTGAGAAGAGGCAAAGCTGGATATGGTAAACCAAGCTTTACTTTCAAGGAGAATGATGAGGGATTCTTCCCAAGAAGCGATGTAATCGCAAAACTCCACAAACCTCACAGAGTAGGCAAGGAAGCACAGCAAGGAAGTCCCAGCAGTTTGTATTCCCCTGCAGCCTGGACAGGTGGAATATTGAGTAAAGGGGCAGGTGGGATATGGATGGAAGGAGGGAGGGGGGTGAATGGAACGAGAGTAAGATGGAGGGAGGAGTCTAGAGAGGATGAGGGAGGACATATAGAGGTAGGATGATGAGAGAATGAGAGTTTCGGTTCAGAATGCTCAAATGTGTTAATAAACAAGTTCAAATTATAATACCTTAATTTCCACAACTGGCCCTCCTGTTAGTAAGGACACCAAACTAGGATTCACGTCTACGGATTTAGTTCAGTGTTTTCTTTCCAAAAACACAGGGAAGGAGGGAGATGGCTCGATTCCTATGCTCAACTTACTACAGACAGGGGGTAAGTTGTGCCACAAAACCACATTTTTTTTGGACATGCTATATTATCAAAACAGTTATGTTTACACGCATTCTGTTTGTTTGTAAGATTGCACAACATCCTGAAATATATGCACATATATTAGTTAGAAACAAAACTATAATAACCTTGATGTAGTGATCCTGAATATGAAAAGTGGCTCATCTTACCCCGGTCTCCCCTAGTGGAGCTGACGAGACGCAAGGCATGCAAACAGTAAAGAAATTAGAAAAAAAAAACTGGGAAAAAAAGGCAGAATAATGTAAAATCCCCATCAACAGTAGGGAGGTCAGAGGTTACAGCACCAAAACACAACAGAAGAAACAAACCTACTTGAGTTCTTTCTCTCAGTGGGCTTCAGAATGTGAGCTGCTGCTACACCTTAGGAGGCATTTTCTATATATATTCTACTGTGTCGGAAGCTGTTCTGTCCAGTTTAGTCGGTCCTGCAGTCTAGCCACTGTCACATGCATAGTGACACACACACACACACACACACACACACACACTAATCTCACAATGTGTTCTTGTTTTCAACTAATTAGAGCTGATTTCAGTCTGAATACGTTTTTTCTCTGCAGAGGATTTCAGACGTCATGAGACTCTACACATTGCTGGCACACACTAATGCTGCACACCTCACTGCAGCATACAAACTGTTACGCTAAAATGTATTTGAGAGGCAGTTTTATTTCTTGAGGGAAAAAAATATTTGACTGTTGATTTACATGTTTTTCTCTCAGTGGTTATGACTTCTTATTATATTTAAACTTGACTGATTAAATGAATAATAAATGGGGCTATTACTGCAATGTCAGAGTTATTATTTAATGAAAAATTTGGAAAATTTAATCAATCAACCAATCAATCAATTTTATTTCTAAAGCCCAATATCACAAATCACAATTTGCCTCACAGGGCTTTACAGCATACGACATCCCTCTGTCCTTATGACCCTCGCAGCGGATAAGGAAAAACTCCCCAAAAAAAACCCTTTAACAGGGGAAAAAACACGGTAGAAACCTCAGGAAGAGCAACTGAGGAGGGATCCCTCTTCCAGGACGGACAGACGTGCAATAGATGTCGTACAGAACAGATCAGCATAATAAATTAACAGTAATCCGCATGACACAATGAGACAGAGAGAGACAGAGAGAGAGAGAGAGAGAGAGAGAAATTCTGACAATTGAACTTCCAACAGGAAGAGGAATCACTCAGTCATCTCGTGCCCTCTTCCTCTGGCACCGACTGGAGAATTAACTCCTCCAGCTGTTCATCTCCAGCAACCAATGAACTTACTGTATTATCACGGAACGGGGGTGGATGGAAACAGGCATTATAAAGCATATTATTTTCTTCTGCTGATCTTCTGGATACATCGCACATGTTTTGTGCAACATTTGGGAACTTTTGCTTTTGATGTGTGAGTGATCCAACCACTAGAGGTGCTGCTGGGTGGATTTTGTTACCTTTGGACAGCGCCAGGCTAGCAGTTTCCCCCTGTTTCCACTCTTTATACTAAGCTAGGCTAACTGCTGCACCTTTATATCTGACACACAGCGATAAATATGTCATTAAATATTATTCTGTGTCAGTTGTCAATAAATAGAGTTAATCAGTTATGTATATTTAGTGAATTATGCTTCACTGATATGATGCTAAAGGTTGTAGAGTTTGGAAACAATTGAGCAGAAATTATGTCGGTTTTCATATGGTTTGTTTTTATCAGTGCACACACAGGGTTAATACAGTGGCAGACTTAACACAGTTTGACACAATCCAATATCACAACAAGGCAAATTATGGGCACAGTTAAATCAGCAAATATTAAGTACTAAATTCTATTGTTTCCCCAGTTAGTCCCTTTTGTTTTCATTCCCAGAATTTGGTTGGAGTTCAGGTGGTTCAGGTTCTGGTTGCGATGGTTCAGTTTTAGTTGGTTTTGGCCCAGACACAGGTACAGCCGACAGCCACAGAGCGGTAGGACGCTGTGTAACACCGTCCACCGTCCTGTGGGTTCAGGACCAGGATGTTCTGGTAGATGGGGACTGAGTTCAGGTTGTGTCTGTCCGTCTGTCCTGGGTTGGGACTGGAACAGAAGCTACTGCTGCACTCAGCCTCCCAGATAGTGGAGGGGATCCGGTGCTTCACTGTGGACGACCTGGACAGACAACAGCATTGAGTCAACAAGAACTGAGTGGCTGTGTGCCGTAGGGAGACAGGAAGGAACATTCAGACCAAATGATTATAAAATGAGATCTCACACTTAATGTGACTTCATAATTTTATAAACTATATAAATATAAAGTATATATAAATGTTTAGTAGGATGGAAAAAAAATGCAAAATAGGTTTGAAACACTGAAAAAAGAAAATTAAATAAGAAAATAAAACAAAGTCATTTTAACTGCTGAAGCCACTTGGGTGACTTAAAAGAAAAATAAATCTTTTTATTTTATTTTATGATCATTTACATAATTTCATGGGCATTAGCAAAATGATATGTTAAAATCTAATATGTTAAAATCTGATTGGCTGCAGCGAATTTCATGGAAGAGATTGTGGACACATTTTCTTGCTGTGAGGAATGGCTTCAAAATCAACAAATGAGGGGCGACCTCTACCTCAGTGTGCTTTGCAGCAAGTTGGGCTCAATTCGGACTTGCGGCCCTTTGCCCTTTGTCATCCCCCCTCTCTCTCCCCACTTTCCTGTCACTCTTCAGCTACACTAGGATACAGACAAAGAGCCCTAAAAAAATCTTAAAAGAACTGACAAACATAAAGAGAAATGTAAATGTCTCTATTAGTTTATATAATAAATCTTACAATAAGACTTTTGTTGTATTTTGTTGTATTTACCATGAAAAGTTTGAGTCTAGAGGCTTTTCGGGAGAATATGAGCTGTACAGTAAAATACTGTATTACTTTTTTACTTTGTTGTGCCAGGAAAACATGTAAAGGGGTGGAAGTTTGTTAGCCTATTTGTGAATCTCGATTTTATTTGAGTAAAGTTCATATTATTTCTTTTTCTTTTTTTTTTTACTCATTTACTGATTAATTTGCTGCTTTTTAAGGACTCAGGTGTATTTCTGTTTACAGTTTTATATTCTCTCTCTTTTTTTAACTTAAAGATTGATATAAAGATCAATTCAAAATTCTTTATTTGATGTTTTGGTTGAAGAATTAAAAACCAGGATCCAATGATATTTGGAACATAAGAGCAGAGTCACTCCATCAAAGGACGGACATATATTTACTGTTAGAAACATTTAGTTTAGTTCTATATTCACTGAATAACCCACTCATTGACTTGTTCATTCATTCATTCATTCATTCATTCATGTGTTTTTCTGTGTGTGGTTAGACTGACTTCCAGATCCATGGAGCCAAAGATCTGCGGTGGATGTTCCCGTTTCCCTCAGATGAGGAGGAGACCTCTGTGGAGAACGCCAACTTAAGGGTACAACCAGGAGGAGGAAGAGGAGTCACTGTGTCTCTGGGGGAGCAGCAGACAACTACCAACAATACACTGCAACATGCCTACAGACAGGAGAGAAGAGGTTATTACTCTAAATTTAAATGAGCCAAAGCCTCCCTTGAAATAAAGGCCAATTATGCAGAATATTACATGTATTTCTGGGGCGCTATCCCAGCTGTCATTGGGCAAGAGGCAGGGTACACCCAGGACAGGTCACCAGACTGTCACAGGGCTGACAAACTGAAGCACCAAGCAGAGACAGACAACTATTCATATTCACATTCATGCTTATGGCCAATTTAGAGTGCCCACTTAACCTAACCTGCATGTCTTTGAACTGTGGGGGAAAGCTGGAGCACCTGGAGAAAACCCAAGATGACAGGGGGAGAACATGCAAACTGCACACAGAAGGGCTAACCACTGCACCACTGTGCCGCCCCAAGTCAAAGATATCCTTGAATAAAGGTCACTTTTTACAAACAAACTGAAAAACTAAAGCTCATCAATGTGATATTAGTTTCACCTGGGTAAGAAGATCCAGATCACTCATATGATTTTAAAGGAAAGTATTTCTATTTGAAGCACATGCAGAAATATTTTGGAGGGAAACCGCTCATCTCTTTCAGATACAAAAGTGAAAGTCTACGGCAGTCTAATCACTGAAGGAGAAATGACACTAACAACTCATTTCTTGTACAATCGCGGCTTCTTGCTCAAATGAGCAAGTTATTCTTTCCTAACAGCAAAATGTATTTTAAGAACATTTTTAAAAAATGCACTTTATTTAGATACATTTATTATTAATAGTTTTATATACTTTTTTTTTTTTTTAGATTTTTCTTTGTATCTCTTGAACCCTTAGGTTCATCCCAAATACGTCTTCAACTGTTTAACCGACAATATATGCATAATACAGGTATAGTTGTGAATATACTCGCGAAGGTTAAATTAAAGTTGTGTGTGGGAACAATGCTCAGCCAAAAACCATGAGCTCATAATGACACCATCAGTTATCTCATACTTTAGTTTTGTTTTAAGATTTATATCAGCTGATAATCAGACTGATTCACCATTATGATGCACTTATTGATTTCTCATTCATTGTATTTGAAAGCCTATGTCATTTTGGAGATGTTGGCGGCAAATTCGACTTCTGAAAGCAGGTTTATCGATCCCAGGTCAGTGTCATCAGTTCATATTAATAAAGTTGTAGATGCTCACCAGCAGTGTGCAGGCACTGTGTCTCAGCTTCATGTTTTCTCCCTTGGTCCTGTCCAGTTTGTGCATGTCACAACTCTGAGTTGAGTTGTATTTATCTAGATGCGTGACCCTCTGATCTGATAACCAGGCGGTTAAATGAGAGGGGAGATTCCTGTTATCTCTGCAGTCCATCTATCTCAGGAGACGAAAGTCTGTGATCGACAGTTTGAGAGATGACAATGATGATGTTCTCTTCACTGATAACATCTCTGGCAACTGAAAGCTCTCAGGACTGCTGACTCTTCTGATTTTGACTTGACAACTTTATTTTCAGTTCTAAAGTTTCTGAAGATACTAAACACATCAGAATTATTTTTGGGGAAATGTGCTGAAAATGATTCAAAAGACATCTAGAATATTTCAATCAGATCAAATAATGCAGCATAATACGTAAGTGTGAGAGTGAAGGAGCCAAAGCTGCCAAATGAGAGATCCTTGGTTCCATAGCATCAGTTTTAAGCAACGTCAATACGCATGACGTGCTGCGCAGCTGTATCACCTGTCAAACTGACTGCTAAAACAGAACCCCTTATTTCAGAACAATTTAAAACCCTTACACTTACTTAGATAGATACATAGATAGATAGATAGATAGATACATAGATACATAGATACATAGAAGCATGTAAGCATCCTGTAAAAGTCTCACATATACAGGAGGCCTTTTTTCACTGATGTAAATTGTTTAACATAGCTGAATGTTAGTGGCATTATGAGTATACAGTTGTGGATTTTAATGATCTTTTCATATTCCTGTTAAACCTGATTTATGCAGTGTTATTTTTTAGGATAACTTGGGCTATTTATTTACTTTCATTACTGTTATCTGCACTATAAAACACCACACAGCTGTTTAAAAATGTGCGTATGTTGATTGTAAAATAAAAAAACAACAAACAAATTGCTGCTTTATGTGATGCCACAACACTTTACAGTTAAATGATCCATATATTCCAAGGTGATGGTGCATTATATTGCATGTCATTTTGTTTTCTATTATAGTATCTGTAGATCCTTATACACGCAACTGCACAGTCAGGCCTGTGAGAGTGAACTGTGTGAAGGGGAAATCTGCATGAACTTTGAGGATCTCCATTGTCACACCACTTGATAAAAGACTTCTGTGTGGGACACACCAGTGTTTCCTCGCTCTAAGCTCCTCCAAAAGCCTCCTCTCTCCTCATCACTTCAAGGTGCATTTGAGGGATTGGAAGGTCCTTCATGATCACAGCATAAGATAAAATAAAATATATGAGGAATAGAACAATATATACAAAATATACAGAATATACACTTAAATGTGATCTAAAGTGCAGGAGATAAATAGATTATTGTTGGTGATAAATATACCGTGAAAAAAGGCAGCTAATCAGATGAGATTTGTATTGATTAGTGCTATTGCCCTGTTATAAAAACTATCCTAGAGTCTATTTGTCCGTGACTTCAGCGCCCTGAATCTCCTGCCAGAGGGCAGCAGCTCAATAAGCCCTGTAGACACTGTGTGATTTTGGGCTGTCCCAGACAAAAGATTACCATCGTGACAGAAATATGGCAATCTTTGGTTGTGGCTCTAAAACAGTGGTCCTATGTGGCAAAGTGAGAGAGAGGTTCAAGGATGGCCGCTGTCATGGTCTTGCAATCAAAGACAGTCTGGAATAAAATCTTTACACTGTCAGAAATTTGGGACGATCATCTCAGTGTGTGACTGCTGTGACACACTGGCGCTAAACCCAAACAAACAGTTGGATAACAGCTCACCATGGAGGCAAGACATCCATCCATCCATCCATTTACTAACGGCTTATCCTCTTGGGGGGGGGGGGGCTGGAGCCTATCCCAGCTGACATTGGGCGAGAGGCAGGGTACACCCTGGACAGGTCGCCAGACTATCACAGGGCTGACACATAGAGACAGACAACCATTCACACTCACATTCACACCTACGGACAATTTAGAGTCACCAATTAACCTGCATGTCTTTGGACTGTGGGAGGAAGCCGGAGTACCCGGAGAGAACCCACGCTGACAGGGGGAGAACGTGCAAAATCCGCACAGAAGGGCTCCCACACCTGGGATCGAACCATGAACCCTCTTGCTGTGAGGTGACAGTGCTAACCACCACACCACCGTGCCGCCCCAGAAGAGGCAAGACATGGTAAAAGAAATGTGTGAGATTCCAGGAAAGAGGAAACCTTGTGGAGTTGTGGCAGCAGAAGCCTTGCCTGTATGATGTGTCCTCCAGCTCTGACCATGATCGCGTAAAGAAGGACGAAGCATGGAAGGACATAGCGGCAGAGTCACAGCTGCCAGGTGAGCAACCTAGCAGCTAGCAAACACACACAGACACACAGCAGAATAATTTCACACAAAACTTTAGGTTATTTAATAATGTGACCCTCTATGTTGTACTTCACAGTTGGAGAAGTAATAATCCATGCAGCATCCTTGAGCACTCACTATGGGAAGCTATTGCATCGTACGTGGTAGCCTGCTGTCATCGTACAGTCTGCATACATCAAACCTGATTCTGTACCAAAGTTTATTAGACTCATGCTGCACAGTGTAGTTTGCACTAAACTTCGTAAGTATTGGACACATTCAAATGTTTAGAAAACATCATACTGCAGGTGGAAACAGGTTAGTAAACATTTTGGCGCCCAAATTGTTTGAATGAACCTGCTGAGCAACAGATGAATGGATTAAGTGGAACAATTTTCAGAAGAACTACGGTTTTATTTGATGATTATTGATATGTAAACAACTGTTGTATTTGCTAACTTTAAGTGGTTTACTCATAAGACCTACGGTCAAAAGCTGCGCTCCTCGCTGTTTAATTGATGCTGACCATTTCAAAATACAGCAGGTTAAATAAATCCTTCTGTCAGACAAAAAACAAACTAAACAAAACAGAGTTGCTGATGCAGTTCTTAAACACTCCAAAAGGTCAAGACAATGTAAATCCAAAAATATTCAGTCCAAACACATCATTACATCCATAGATATCCATGAACTGCTGCTGCATTGTTTCAAATGTTCAAATTTCTCCACATATTATCCATAATTTCTTCAGTTAGCATGTAAATATGCTGATATTTACATATCAAAATGGTGCCGAACTCCTGACATTTTGACATACACCTTACTTGAGCCTTTAGGAGCTTCCATGCCCGCCCCATAGCCAACAATAGCCAACGGGGGCCTGTGTTCACTTTCAAGGTCTTGTGTCACTTCTTAGATTACAGAGCCAATCAAAAGCCAGTGACTGGCCTGACGGTTTATGGGTCTTATAGTCAATGACACTCCAGACCTCCACAGAAGGTCTGAACCCTTTCCTAGCACCATAGCCTGTTCTAAATGTACAGGAATGATACACAAATTGCTCTGGTACAGTCTTTCGTATCAATTTAGGTTTTGTAGAATTGTTTTTGTATTTAGTAAGCTCCTAAAAAGACATTTCTGCCTGTGTTAATAAGTTTTTCACACATAATCACACATTCAGTACATTATTTTAGCCTCTTTTTAGAGAAGCACCTGGACAAAACCTTAGAAAACATATGTAAAGTATTTATTTTCTGTGATGTTATCTACTTTGAATTTGGACTGTGTGAGGCCTCATGCTATGGCCCCATTGTTTTCCAGCTAATACCTCTCAGCTATAGACATCAGCAGCATCTTTTTTCAAGAAAATATTTAGGCAAAGAAAAAACCCTTTTATTTCAGTGTGTTGCAGCATAAATAACTAGGTGACAGAAGCACTTACAGTGATTCTGACTGGTGGGGAGAAAACTTCAAATGAAACCATACATGCATGCGCTAAAAATGGAACAAGAACATTGAGGTGAAATTTACAAGATGCTTAACAGGTCAAAACACAGTAACAGATCAAGATCAGCCTTAGGTGGCTGGAAAGCAAAGGCATCAGCAACATCAGTCTGACAGGGAATGGAAATGTGCCGGTTATATATTGCAGAACTGATAAGCGAAATTAGACATAGGTGAGCCAGTGGATGAGAGAGTCAGGTTACTGTGGCAGGTGGGAGCATCGGAGGGCATCTGGTGGATGGATGGAGAATGACACTGCAGGGGGCAGAGGCAGACTTTATGATGTTCAAGCAGCAAAGTCCAAAACAGCAGTTATACATTGTTATACAAACGTTTAGAAGATTATTTTTTTATTTATGTTTATCATTATATGTAATCATTTGCACTCATAAAGATGGTTAAAAATGATTTCCCTAACTACGACCACCATGCAGACAGCAGCCTGTGTGACTTCCTGTTTCCATACATGGAACTCTGAGAGCAGAGAGCCTCCTGTGCTGTGGCTCCACCCCTCACTGTGACATCATGCTGTGTGGTTTTGGATGTCTGCTGTGAAGTTTGAGCAGAGTGTTTCGATCAGAGCCGTCAGCAGCTTCTCTCTGACCTCGTTTGGGAGAGGAAACCGGAAACAATGAGCACTAATCTGATAAATCACCGGGTTTTAACCTGCTGCTGGTTTCCGTCAGAGCTGTCAGCACTTTTCACACACGCCACAACCTGAATCTGCACTGTGAACCTCTACAACCTCTCCACCAGGAGGACACTGGGAGGCTCAAATAGTCATTAAAGACCTTAAAATTAAATGGAAGAGAGAAAACTTTACCAGTTTCACATGTTTACCACTGATGGGGCAGAAATGTGAAGTTTGTCCTGAGGATGGCACCAGAGGAAACAACATGTTGCATCTACAGTGCAATATATAGAATTCGTTTAGCTTAGACTCAGCTGTACCTCTGTATATTTTGTACAAAAGGTGAGCATTTTATACAACATGTGGTAGAAATGTCTCTTATGGAAAGGCAAACAGAGAATTCAGCTGTAAGATGACATTTTCAAATCTGAACTATAATGCAATAATTAATTCTGCATTATTTCCAAAAAGGTCATTCTTTGTACAGACTCGTATTCAGCACTGATAACAATGCAGTCATTTACATCCAGTAGTAGGCAGGATATTGTTACTGAAATCTATTAATTTCTGTACA